AAGAGTTGCTTGATGTGTAACCCACAAAGGATATGAGTTATTACAGACCCAGCTGGAGAGCTTTACAGATCAAATGCACTTGGCGCTGAAGGATGCTGGATCAATCACTCCTGATTGGGCCAAGATGGCAACTGTCACGAGCACTTAAGAGAGGAGAGGAGGGAATTCCTGGTGTGGGAATTACAGAGGGAGGGATAGAGGCTTGAATGGAAGGGGCAGAAAATAATATTTGGGCAAAAGGGTTAGAGGGAGAAAATGGCTGCAATGGTAGAGGAAGGAGGAATTCTATGTATAGACATAAATATGGTGAAGAGATGGCTGAGATGTCATAAAAAATATGGTGAGGATTGGTGCTTCTGGCGCAGGGAGGGTTTGTGCAGCCAGTCCATGGTTGAAGAGCCCTTTAGCATGGTGGTTGTGGTTGGTGCACTCCGGAGTAGGTCTCACCATCAGCAGCCAAATGAAACAGTGACAGAAGAAGATACAGGGACTGGACTGGAAAGCCATTAATGAAACCATCAGAAATATTCCTCTTACTCCAGAAATGTTTCCTGCTTTGTCATTTAAAGAATGACAACCCATGCAGAAGTATCTTTTACATGAGTAATACATCTGAGGACTCAGGAAATTCTTACTGGGATGTAGGACTTGTCATCTGCGTGCCAGTGGTTCAGATGTAGTCCAGATTTTAGCAGGCTCAACACTAATAACATCTGATAGCACTTGGATGGCCTTTATGCTTTCTCAACTCGTTCCAGGTGGAGATGCACCCACATCACAAAAACACGCTCATATAATGAATGTTAATAGCAGGGGTGGTGGCAGGGTCAGCAGAGGCAAAGGCTGAGACTCCAGCTGAGAGCAGTCCCTGCAATCCCCTTTACTTCCAGGTTCCCAGCATACCTTGTGGTCCTAATTTCCAGACCACAGGGTGCATCAAATGTAGGATGTGTGGCTGTTGCACGCAACATGAGTGTTTTGTGAACACAGAATGTTGTGTCTTATTATTTTCCCTGTCACAAACAGAACACTTTTAGTGTCATTTATGATTCTTACTCATTATTCTTAATAATTATTCTTTCTTATAATCATAATTAATAATTATGAAAAAGCATCCTCACAGGTTGCACTCAGCTGTTCTACCAGGATATATTATATCCTAAGAGTAATCTAAAATATTAAGTTAGGCTGCCTTTCCCTTTCTTCCTTATCCATGTTCCACATGTATGGTAGAAAAAAGATTTCTCAAGCCATCCAAAACAATATCCTGCATTACACACAGAGCAAGGGAGATCAAGTTGCTCAGGATAAATCTCAATTATCTTTGTTGAAGTACAGATGATGACAGAAATACTTGGAATTTGCTCCATCATTCGTAGCAAGGAAGAGCTGCATGAAGACAGCAGATCTCTCATATATGAGGCCAATAGTTTTAGGAAAGCAGCCCGAAGTCTAAGTGCAAAGTATAAGGGTCAATGAAGTCCATGAAATGGATGAATGTTTGTTGCTTTGTGTGCCCATGGTTTTGCACGT